GCAAGGCAGGAAAACTCTAGCTACAATACACCTAAGCTGTGTCATACTGTTTCACATGTTACTACACAGAAACCAGGGAAGGACTCTGTTTCCAGGGCTCCTCATGACTTGAGTGTGTGTTTCCCTGTCATCATTCTTCCTGTCAGAGGAGAGATTTAGACGGTGACTGGGTTTCAAGCAGTGTTTTGGGAGTCCTCCAGGTCAAGGCTGATTTTGTCTTCCTTATAATTTAATTTGTGTTATGTTCTTGAATGTTTCTTAAAGGTTTGGAACGTTCCTGATCTCGATTACATACATAATTCCTTCACCTCTGGCATTTTATGATTCATTTCTTTGATTCCTGTGCTTGAGCCAGACCCAGAAGTTGCCATGGAAGTGTGTTTTACATTTCGGAAGCTGTTGACGCTGGAGGATGTTCATAGATCACCATCTTCCCATTCTTCTTTGACACAGAACTCTTTTTCAAAGCTTAATTTTGTGTCTGTCTCAGACATGAACAGACATATATGCTGGGGAGGGGGGCTACTTCTTCAGAGGAGTTGTAACGACAGTGTGTCAGCATCACGTAGGGAGTGCTTACTGATTTTCACCATCCTCTCTTGTTGTGTTTGAGAAATTGTCATTCTCACCCTTCAAGGGGCAAGACATAGGGTGAAGAGAAAAGACAGTGGTAGGATTGCAGGGTCTCCATCTAAAAGAAACAGCCTTTACAGAAACAAAACACAGAGAAATGTAAGATCAACATTCCAAATTTCATAGCAATAAAAGTTACATATTACAGGTTTTAAATGAAAAGAACCTATAAACTATCAAAATAAACAAAAAACTCAAATTATAAGCAAATAATAGTTCCTTGTGTAAAATTCCATGCTTTCCAAGCAATGCATGCCTCTGTTCTCTAACACAAAAAAAATTGTTTCAATCCATTTTTAGCAGCGAAATTTGATGAATCTTACTAGACATGACACACAGAACTTTCATGTAACTTTCAATAAAAGCATTCAGTTCACTTCAAACAGTGATACAAAGATGACTACTAGGAGGTATATAAAATGTCCTGAACATGATGACATTGTGACCCATTTTCATAGACAAAGAGTTTTGGGGTGTGTGTGTGTGTGTTGTGTGTTGTGTGTTTGTGTGGTATGTGTGTGCATGTATGTATGTGTGGTATGGGTATGTGTGTGTTGTGTGGTATGTGGTATGGTGTGTTGTGTGTGCTGTGTGTTTGTGTGGTATGTGTGTATGTGTGTGTGATGTGTGGTATGGTATGTGTGTGTTGTATGTATGTGTGTGTTTGTGTAGTATGTGTGTATGTGTGTGTGTGGTGTGCATGTGTGTGTTTATATGGTATATGTTTGTGTGGTGTTTGTGTGTGGCGTGTGTCTGTGGGGGTTGTGGGGGTGTGGGGGTGTTTGAACCTTGTCCACTGATTGGTTATTGGCATTAGACCAGAGAAGCCTCTCTGAATGGCGATGCAGTAAGGGAACATGTCACAGCTCCTTAGTTACTTAAGCAAATAAATTAGCTGGCCACAGCTTATCTGGAAATTTTAGAGTAATTTAATGAGACTTTCTTGTGTGGATATTGAAAGAGTCTGCTAGTCTTTCCCTTAGATGCTGTTCCTTGGCATCTTCAGAGTTTTCACTGCCCACCCAGGAAAACGAGCGCAAGTTAATACATTTTTAATTATTGCTGTGGCTGGTCATCTCGCTTCTTCTTCCCGCTGGGAACACGTTTGAATTTTAAACTGTAGAAACTGCAAAGGAAGCACTCTTGGTTCGCTTCTTTATGAAGCAGGGGTAGTGTTTTAAACAGTCATTATACCATCATCTTATAATTGTTTGCTGTGTGAAGGAATAACTAATACATTTTTTCAGGCTCACGTTTAGTACTCAGTCTTTCCTTCTGCCTGACAAGTGACAGTGTTAAGGCATATTGACTCTCTGAGGGCTGTCACTCTTCATGGTGTGAGTGTTGAGCACACATGGGCATCTGAAAGTCAGAGAGGAGCTTTACGATCCAATAAGAGCTTTTTCCAAGTGATGTGAAATACCCAGTAGCTTTCCATGTTACACTTTTCTAGAATTCAAAGTTCACGCTGTTTCTAAGGAATGAGTGTTGACCTAAGATATTGATTTGTTTGTTTGAAATAGCTCATATGAAAAGTTTCCTAATTGTATTTTGCCACATCAATCAAGAGAGCTGTCTTCTAACACAAGTGACAGAGTTTTGCTGTTCCTAACTGGGCAGCAGGACTAAGCCTTTCTCTCCTTACCCAGCCTGTTGACATTGTCTTGTTAAACAGAGAACCATCTCCCTACTCTGCATGGGAAGTTGCCCAGTGGCCTGCTCCTGGGCATGTGTCCCTGGGCACAGCCACTTCCCTCTGGAAATAAATCCCTTTATTACACTGCCCCCTGGACCTCACCTGGTGCCTTTGCAGTCTCAAGCCCTGAGGTGATGCCTTGGTTTGTCTCCATGGAAACTATGTCTTCTGCCATCATTCTTCACTGAAGTTCATCGTGATTTATTTCAAGTTGGATTTTTGTAATGAATCATATAATCATTCCCTTTAAAATAAAACTAATGATGGAATTTAAGAAAGCACAGGTAACATTTTAAGTTCTAGTTCCTAGAGCTTATTATAACATCCACTAAAGGTAGAGCAGGTTTCTTTCTTAACAAATAATCTTTGTAATCATTTCTTACAGCTATTCTCTCTCTATTAATGTCTGTAAGTGAGAAATTGCATCTGCATTGATGAGTGACCTTGTAGTCTCTTATATATCAGGATGTTTTATCAGGAACTCCCCAGCTACATACATATCATGAGTACCTTATTGTTATCACTACACACATAAAAATAAAGGCATGGAATATTCAAGTAAGGAAAGTCAAATGGATGCTACTTTTTACAATGCAAATTGTTACTGCTTTAGTGAAATAAAATTTTGCAAAACTGACTATATTTTCCTTTTTTGACGTGTGCATGCAAAAACCATGGCTCTCCTCTTAAAGGGTATAAGAGGTAGTTCATTTTTGAGCTGCTTTAAGTGACCATGGACTGGGAAATACATGTTACCCCAAAGTTCATCTTCCAGCATTTTCATAAAGTTATTCCATTTTACAGAGCAAGAAAAGTCATAAATCAAGGCAAATTTAAAAGACATTTAAAATGACATCAGAGAGGTCATTACAGCGGCATGGGGAAAGCTTTTCAATAAGACTTAAACATATCTGATAATATAATATGCTGAGCTTTGGGGTTGGTAGAAGTTAGTGGTCTGCCAAGTTAATAGATTTCCAAAGACTTTTACATGTTAGACACAGATGTTAGTTCTGACACAGAGGTGGGCAAAGAATGGCTATTTGTGGGGCTAAAGCCAGCTCAAAATGAGGTAATTTACCTCAGGAGATGCAACATCCCAACGTCTCCACAACACTGTACTTTTTTATTAGTCAGTCTTTGCAGACACGGCTGCTTTCCAGGAATTCTCCCTCATAGTCCCTGTTGTAAAAATGTCAGGAGGTATACACACACACACACACACACACACACACACACACACACACACACACACTCACGCACGCACGCACGCACACCGAGCCTTTGGTTCCTCTAAGGAAACACATCTCCAGTAATGAGTTCTCTGGTGCACAAAGCAGGTCAGCTCTTCCTCAGAAGTCTCTCAGTCATCCTCTGGGTGCATTCTTTGCTTGATGGCCCTCTAAGGTTCTGCTCCAATGTTCTTCTTGGAGAAACCTTCATGGGTCACTTTGACTAGGGTCTACCCCCAGCATCTTTTCCTCATTGCACTCTAATTGTATGCTAGCTCTCAGGCCCCTCACACCTCTAGTGAGGTAGGATGCTGAGGATGCTCATCAAATGGTCTGAAAAGCACAGAGAAATGCCCAGAGGCGTTGGATGGAGCCCAAGCTACAGGTTTCCTGTTGTTACTGAAGGAGCTGAAAGGCAGCCACATCTCTCCCACCTTCTCCACATATTAGGGTCCTAACCGGCACAGAACTAAACAGTGGAGGAGGAAATGGATCCCCAGACTTGTGTATCAGTTTGCGGATTAAAGGACAAATGTTTCTATATTACTACTATCCTGCAGGTCATCTAGTAGCTTGCTGGCAGCTCTAGGACTCAGTTACAATCGTCTTCCTATTTACAAGATGACTTATGAACAGTTTTGTAAAGCAAGGTTAAAAAGAAACAAAACCAAAGCCATTTACTTATTTTGCACAGGACAAGAGGCCTGTGTACTGTCACATTTGCTGGAGGTCAGAGGACAGCTTGCTAGACTCTAGTCTGTCCTTCCATCATGTGGGCTCTAGGGATTGAATTGAGGCCATCAGGCTTAACATCGATAGCCTTTAAACACTGAGCCATCTTGCTGGCCCAAAAGGCTACATTTTAAAACCTGTCTCCATGGCTATAAGTTAGAATCTTTTCTTGTTGTTCACCTCAGAGTCTGCCTGCTGTTTTGCCTACCACTTCCTTAATGAGATATTTAGTGTGCTAAATTATAATGTGCTAGGACCATGTTTGAAGTTTTAGACCCTTTATATGTTTCCCACTAGGTACGTACATGCACATAGGTACAAAGTGGAAGTTTACAATTCTCATTAGTGTTCTGAGTTCAGACCACCTTTTAATCTGGTAACTGACACACAGAGAAGCTAAGCAATAAATCCACATATCCAGTTCTCTCAATATTGGGCTTGATTCTCCAGGTAGCTAGGTGGTCCATGTCTTTCGTGTCCATGTCTCACGAACAAATGTTTGGATAGCTCTTGTAATACTAACAGAGTTTTCTTAAGTATCAGCCATTCCCAGATCACAAGGTTATTGCCAGCCACGTTGTTCTCAGGCTATGTAGTATTCCTTTTGGGCTACTGGTATTTCAACATGCAGGTAGGGGATTAAAGTAAATCATTTAATCCATGCAACATGTCACTCAATAGTATACTTTTGGAAATTGTTTCCACAGGAGCAACAGTGAAAGCAGCCAGCCTGAGATATCGACACTAGAGAAAGAAACTGACAACTCACTCCTTGTATTGATCCCACTCTTCTCTACAAACACAGACTCTACTCCCTACCACAGCCTGTAAGTGGTGCCTGCTGAGCTTGCTAAATTGCTGTGTAAATTATTTATCACTTGGACACCTTGTAAAGATCTCATGTCCTCTTGTTGGACTTAGCTGTGCTTTCTAGGGTCTCATCTCTATGGAAAGGTTTCAAAAGATATACTGACCACAATGATATGATGCTCCTTGTTTCCTGCCATATACTACCGATGTGATCTGCCTGATTAGTATTATGCTTGCATCTCAAGTCAGCTTCTTAGTTTTGAAATATTGCCTATAAAAATCATCAACATTTATATACAGAGAGGCCAGACTGAGGACCAGACAGGCTGGCAACTTTGAGCCCAGTACTGGCCAATTAGCATACTTTAAAAATAAAGCATGTCAAGTACTCGAATAATATTTATTGGGGGGGGCAGTTCCTGTTGACAGTTCTTATCAGAGGAAACAATCTGCTTGAGCCTACATAACATCAGTACTCAGAAAAAAATTGCAAATGTGTCCTGTTATGAATTATTCTTTATCACTTAGGGATTTTTTGGTGTTTTTATGAACCAGATTTTTTTTTAATATTTATAATTTTATTGTAAGAATTATGTTTTATCCCCAGCCAATAGGGCAGCTTGCACAGATCATGATGGCTTGCTTTTAGCTGTCTGAAGTTCACACACATGCAAGAGTGTGCACATGCATTTGCACACACGTGCATACTAACACTCACATTGTATGCAGGAGAAACGTATTCATGTCTGGCGGCTCTCTGTCCTCCTCTATCTGATTTTTACACTGGTAGCTCAGGATGAGTGCAAACTTGGGGAGTTCAGGCTAGAGCTACTTGAGTGGCTTTTAGGGTTTGGAAATCGACAAAAGTCCTCTTCATATCCATCCTTCCAACCGATGATGGCCAGGGAAATGGCTGTCAGTGAGTGCCTGCAGCACAAGCCCAAGGACCCGAGTTCAAGGAGCACCTTTGTCGCTGGCCAGCCAGCCTAGAAGAATCAAGGAGCTTAAGTTTCAGTGAGACCCTGTCTCAAAAAGGCAAAGTGGAAAGGCATGCAAGGCAGGTCTGTGAGTAAAGACACCTATCAGTCCTGACAGCCTGAGCTCAGTCCCTGGGACCTTCATGGTGGAAGAAGAAAACTGACCTCTGCAAGTACACACACACACACACACACACACACACACACACACACACACACACAC